GTTTTTTTTTCAGCAGTACATGTGTGTGTGCTTTTTCTTGTTGCCGCCTTTTTGTTGTATCCTCCGGCTGTGCAGTATATTTGTTTCTGCACGCATGTGTGACTACTGCAGCTATCTGGCGAAGGAAAGAGATCGCGAAGTGCTGTCCCTGGCCTCAGCGGGAGTTTCGTTTCTGGTGAAAAGTAATCTTCCTCGTTTTTGTCCCCTGTTGTCACTTTTTTTCATTTTTTCTCTCTCTCTCATGTACTTATTTCACCTCGTGTTTCCGGTGGCGGCGCTCGAAGCAGTGGTGTATCTTTGTGTACATTTTTTCTCCTTCTCCCGGACGGGACAACAGCACATCATATACTACATTGATCACGTGATACATATACCTTCCGCTGCGCTACTCACTACCCTATTCCCTCCCGCCGCGGCCCTCTGATTCATTCTCCAGTTTGTCGAGTACCCCGAGTTCCACGCCGTCGTCTCCGGGCTCAACAAGAAGGCACGGGCTCCTATTCGCCGGGCTCTCGTCGAGAAGATGCGCGAGATCAAGAAAAACCTCGAAAGCGAGGTGGCGCTCATGCTCGATGATGAGTATGTCGCGATTACCACGGACGGCTGGACGTCTCGAAGTAACGAGTCGTACATGTCGCTGACCGTGGCCTACATCGACGTCGGGTGGCAGCTGCATCATCTTTCCCTGAACTGCACGAAGCATACAGGGAGCACCCACGGCGAGGACTTGGCGAGGGAGATAACCAGCATGATCGAACGCCATGGCCTCACCGGTCGGGTGACGGCATGCGTTACCGACTGCGAGCCGTCCATGGTCAAGGCGGGTCGCCTGCTGGAGGTGGGTGGGAGCAATCTTGAACACATCGGTTGCTCCAACCATCGCATGGAGTCAACGACGTCATCGGTCTTCAACGGCAAGAGTCTGGGCGCTTTGGCGAAGGCGCGCGCGGTGGTTGGCCGCTACAAGAGATCGAGTCAAATGTCGGGCCGCCTTGCCGTATTCATCGGCATCCTCAAGCTTTCCCCTCTGTCCGTGCTGCAGGACGTGGAGACGAGGTGGTGGTCGTCATGGGCGATGATCGAGCGCCTCCTCTACCTCATGAAGGCCATCAAGCTACATGAGTCCACGGACAACATTGCCCCAGTGTTGTCCGAGACAGATTGGGAGGTGCTGCGGCTGATCGAGCCCATCCTGCGGCCGTTCATGCAGGCGCAGAAGGATCTGGAGGGGGCAAAGTACGTGACGGGTAGCATGACTGTGCCGAAGATCGGGGAGCTGCGGAATGGCCTCGAGGCGGCAATTGCTGACCTCAGAGCCACGGACCGATTCGGGATCAGTGCTTCGACGAGGGAGGCGATGGAGGCCGTTTTGCCGGACGCGGAAGCGTTGTGGGAGGATTTTCTCAACCGCTGGGGTGACGGCTCAAGCATCCTCGAATACAGGGAGGGAAAGCGGCGCCAACCCCAGGGCTTCAAGCTGCAGCAGGTGTGCGCAACGGCCGTCGACCCGCGTGCGAAGCACCTTTACGGCATACGCCAGGCGGAGCATGCCAGCGTGTGGCGCGCTGTCGCAACGAAAGCGGTGGACATTGCCGCAGAGAAGTTCTCCAGCGACAACACGGCTACCTCCGGCTCTGCACCTGCTGCCCAACCCGTGGGGACGCCGCCGGTGGCACCCGGCGGGCAGGGAGCCCCGAAGCGGGCTCGCTTGAGTGCGTTCGAGGCTGCCGCTGCTGCCCACGCCGGTGCGGCGGCTAGCAGCGCTGGTGGCCAAACTCTGGACGAGAAGCGAGAGCAATTGGCGAGTGTCGTCGACCTCGAGGTAGCTTCTTTCCAGACCACACCTGGGATAAGCATATGGTACTGGGGAACGGACGGCAAGAAGGTCTACAACGATCCTCTGGATTGGTGGCGCACGAGGCAAATGGAGTTCCCTCATCTGGCAGCGCTGGCTCGTCGTGTGCTTGCCATTCCATCGTCTCAGGCGCACTCCGAGCGCGTGTTTTCCACAGCAGGGCTCATGGTTTCGGCGAAGCGGACTCGCCTTGCAGATGACAACGTCGAGCTGCTCGTGTACCTCAAAAATGTCTGGAGTGTAGTTGATGAGTGGCAGAAGTCTGCGGTTCGCAAAAAGAAGGTTGCCAAGTAGG